TTTCCTATTCAGGTTTTACTCGAGGGTCTGAACATCACTTGACATCACTAGGCAGCCTCCTCAGCGTATTTCAAATCCACCTCCATTTTCCCTAATAGACATCAAATCTTGGGCATGATTTCCCTGCCCTCATAAGTGTTGTTAACATCAAATGAACAAGAAAAATTCTAATGAATAGGATAATTTCTCGTTTAGGATATGGTGCCAGGTCAGGCCCCACTATTACAACATGAATGGAAAACGACGAGTTGGGCGTCGCAACAAGCGTGATATGATGGAGATCATGTCAGGAGGAGATGAAAGCTTACGGTCAGTCGTGGATCGATCCTAAAAGGATTGGAGAGAAGAGGGCAGAACACAGGCTGCTAAAGCCCTCTGCTCCATAAGGAACTCAGGCGAATCATAGTTATAATACTCGTATAATCCTTTCTATATTGCGTAGTTGTTATCTCAAACCTACAATTTTAATAACACATCTTCAGAGACATTCCTGCTAATAATATGAAAATATACTATATAGATATGCAACTGTAAATTTTGACAGCAATATCCATGACGGGTAACTCTGTGCTGAACACCTCTTCTTTTATCCAAGGGAAAGACCCGAAAGATGTAGTCTCCTGTGAAGACATCTGTCTTAGCTATTCTCCATCTAATAACTATATGTGGGAGAAGATAACTGTCGACCAATGAATCGTGAAGATGGTCTCCCAAAACGAATATCAGCACAACCCTCAATAAAGATCAACTTCAACATAAGTTTTTTGAGTTTTGGTAACAAACATTAGTGTCCAGTCTTTTCTGACACTATCTATACGAAAACAAAAACCCTTTTTCAGTAGAATTCATTTTCTGCAAACCTCAGAATATTTAGATATATATTATCACGCATGACATGAATGTTTCTACATCAAATTGTTAAATACTGTCTAGCCCAACATCATAAACAGCAATAAAGCTCGAGTATATATATGTATTAATTTCCGGAAATGAAGCATTAAAATAAATTGCAATCAGCCTTTTGTAATGGAAAAACATTGACAAAATTCAGACAGATGATGAATACATTGAGTAGGCAGAGTTATCAGGAAAATTAATCCGATTTTACCAGCATTACTTCTAATTGACAGTTATGATGGCAACTCCATTATGGGTAAAAATTTATTTTGATGAAATCACACACAGTGTTGTTGTTATACAGTAAGTAATATTTACTGATGACCAAGTTTCGAGAACAATTTATTGCCACTCATAATCGTATCAAGGCACTAATCACACAACTTTCTTGCTTCATTTATATACATGAGTAGAAATTGATGATTAGACATTTGAACAAAATCAATATAAGATAGAGTACATTCAGCAATATTATTAGTGTTATCAATCAAATACAACCAGATGGGAAATAAGATGGTTTTATAGTAAAATAAATTATTAACTTGTTAATATGTTATAATGTGAATTGAATACATACTAACATTATTTATTATCCTCTGATTTCACTGGTGGTAATAATGCCTTCCATATCTATGATATTTGTGTTGAGTCACTCCTATTGCATATGTTGGGTTGCATGTAGACTCGATGAACAAGGATTCAGTATTTATCTATATTACTTTTGAGAATTCTGACTCTTTTCCACCAGCCATATTGAATGGTTGTGTTTTAATGCATACAGTGCGATTGCTGAGTTCTTTTCTAAATTACTCATCTTCGTGGGATCAATCATTCTAACCTTAGGTAAATTCTTATGTTCCGATAATCTGACTACTCCCGATCTACTAATTGGACCTATGTAGTTGAACTCACTCACAGTCATTGCTAGGTATGTTGTTAATTTTCTATAGTTTGGTTTGTAAGGATTAGTTATGTTTTACGAGTTGATCACGGACTGATATCAGTTAGAGAACCATTGAAAATCAGGGAGTACTGGACAGCTGCTGTTTCATCCTTGTTTGGGAATCATCGGCAGTACGCACCCACTGGGATTCGAACCCAGGACCTTCCGGTTACAAGGCAAGCTCGTATACCATTCAGCCACTGGGACCCGATTCAATGGCTCATGAATTCTAACTTCTACCAATTCGTGATTTTAGCGCGACCCCAACTATTGTCGTTGGTGGAAATCCATCCACACATGACTTCTAATTGGACCTCACTGGTCACGACTTCTCACTAGAACTGCAGGAAACTCCAACCTGTAGCAAGTCACTAGCGAGCATCAGAATAATTTTCTATAGTTTGGTTTGTAAGGATTAGTTATGTTTTACGAACTTACAAACCAAACTATAGAAAATTATTCTGATGCTCGCTAGTGACTTGCTACAGGTTGGAGTTTCCTGCAGTTCTAGTGAGAAGTCGTGACCAGTGAGGTCCAATTAGAAGTCATGTGTGGATGGATTTCCACCAACGACAATAGTTGGGGTCGCGCTAAAATCACGAATTGGTAGAAGTTAGAATTCATGAGCCATTGAATCGGGTCCCAGTGGCTGAATGGTATACGAGCTTGCCTTGTAACCGGAAGGTCCTGGGTTCGAATCCCAGTGGGTGCGTACTGCCGATGATTCCCAAACAAGGATGAAACAGCAGCTGTCCAGTACTCCCTGATTTTCAATGGTTCTCTAACTGATATCAGTCCGTGATCAACTCGTAAAACATAACTAATCCTTACAAACCAAACTATAGAAAATTAACAACATACCTAGCAATGACTGTGAGTGAGTTCAACTACATAGGTCCAATTAGTAGATCGGGAGTAGTCAGATTATCGGAACATAAGAATTTACCTAAGGTTAGAATGATTGATCCCACGAAGATGAGTAATTTAGAAAAGAACTCAGCAATCGCACTGTATGCATTAAAACACAACCATTCAATATGGCTGGTGGAAAAGAGTCAGAATTCTCAAAAGTAATATAGATAAATACTGAATCCTTGTTCATCGAGTCTACATGCAACCCAACATATGCAATAGGAGTGACTCAACACAAATATCATAGATATGGAAGGCATTATTACCACCAGTGAAATCAGAGGATAATAAATAATGTTAGTATGTATTCAATTCACATTATAACATATTAACAAGTTAATAATTTATTTTACTATAAAACCATCTTATTTCCCATCTGGTTGTATTTTATTGATAACACTAATAATATTGCTGAATGTACTCTATCTTATATTGATTTTGTTCAAATGTCTAATCATCAATTTCTACTCATGTATATAAATGAAGCAGGAAAGTTGTGTGATTAGTGCCTTGATACGATTATGAGTGGCAATAAATTGTTCTCGAAACTTGGTCATCAGTAAATATTACTTACTGTATAACAACAACACTGTGTGTGATTTCATCAAAATAAATTTTTACCCATAATGGAGTTGCCATCATAGCTGTCAATTAGAAGTAATGCTGGTAAAATCGGATTAATTTTCCTGATAACTCTGCCTACTCAATGTATTCACGGACTGATATCTGATGCTCGCTAGTGACTTGCTACAGGTTGGAGTTTCCTGCAGTTCTAGTGAGAAGTCGTGACCAGTGAGGTCCAATTAGAAGTCACGTGTGGATGGATTTCCACCAACGACAATAGTTGGGGTCGCGCTAAAATCACGAATTGGTAGAAGTTAGAATTCATGAGCCATTGAATCGGGTCCCAGTGGCTGAATGGTATACGAGCTTGCCTTGTAACCGGAAGGTCCTGGGTTCGAATCCCAGTGGGTGCGTACTGCCGATGATTCCCAAACAAGGATGAAACAGCAGCTGTCCAGTACTCCCTGATTTTCAATGGTTCTCTAACTGATATCAGTCCGTGATCAACTCGTAAAATATGTTGTTAATTATATTATTTTGTCTAATTGGATCCACTGGGTCCTTTAACCTACAGAGCTTGTCCTACCTGAGTTAGCTTGTAGGTTTCAATGCCACTCTAATTCCTGCTACATTGAGAATCGTACGTAGGGTTTTAGAGGTCCCCATCTTGTATGGTAAATCTGTAGATGTCTTATATTCTCTGTTATGTATGTTATCATTACTAGTTTCATCATTATTTTTATTTTGCTTTTCACTTTTGCTGTTCTCCCTAATGAATTTTATAGGACAGTCATTTGATACTAACGCTTCTTTTATTTGTTTCATTTCATCGTTTAGGTTTTTTGTTGTACTACTTAGTACTATTGCTCGGTTTGTTAGACACCTAACTAAGCCTGACTTTACAGACGACTGATAAGATGAAGTAAAGTCAAAATATCTATTAGTAGAATGCATTGGCAGTTTATTTTCTTCAGTTCGTTTTGCTTTACAGTTTAACATAACTAATTATCTTTGTTCATTTTCCGATTCAAATGTGAATTTTATTCGCTTCACTAGTGAGCTTATGTGCGTCAAGAAGCTAGAGATATGTCCTGTTTTTAACACTGTGAGTGAAAGTATCATCCACATATCCACATCATATTTTTGGAGTAGGATTAAATGTATTAAGAGCCATATTTTCCCAGCTGTCCATAAAGATATCTGCTACTATAGGGGATATGGTGATCCCATTGCTACACCATCTGCTTGTTTATATATTTTGCCGTGGAATTTAAAGATAGTAAATGTGAGGCATAACTGAATTCCTAAAATGATTTTCTCAGCCGAAAGCTTTGTCCTATGATGGTACTAATGATGGCAGTGATAAGTTAATAAATTACTCAGTAATACTACACAGTGCATCGGTGTTCCAGCGGTAAAATGTTCGTCAGCCACCCATATGGACAGTGGTTCGATCCCTGGCCGACGCACTCCTCAATCCTTCTTAGACTTTAGTACGCCTCATAAACAGGGAAGATTTAGATGTATGGTTAGCAACTCTACCCCGTAGGAATAAATGCCAGTGCTACTGAAACATCAAAGCTCTAGCTTGCATCCCCATGTTCCACTAGGACCACAAAGGAATAAAATAAATAATAATAGTAAGCATAATAATAATAAGTATATCCTTTATTCCGGAACTTACTTCATCGAAATACCATTGACTATCGATCCATGGATCGATTTTCTGACCATCAATCAGCTTGGTTAACTCATTCCAAACATCAAGAACCAGATTGTGAATTTCATTTTGTCCTCGATCACGACAGAATAGAAGGGATTTCAAGAAGAAACCTCCTAGGACTAAGTTTTCATCGTGTAGCTTCAACGGATTGATACGTTCCATATGGAACCACTTGATAAAATAAAATTATAATTAGTAGCAGTAGAACAAGTAAGAATGGAAAAGTTCAAAATATCCTTGTTAAATAACTGAAGGCATCAGGCTAGAAGCCATGGAACTACGTCTCTTGTTTGTTCACACTCTTCAGCAAGTGGTGTCTTCAGTCTTGAAGCAACTCATGTATCCTCTGAGATTCGGAACCATATGACCCAAAGCTGCAGTCAGAGACGCTATTTGGGATCACAATCGATATCCTGTTTAAAACTGTGGTTTATCTCACCGGGTAATATCATCACCGCAGAGCTATTCTCACACCCCGTCTAGTGAGGCTCAGTGATTGTGACTTCTTACTAGACCTTTGAGTAGATTAATCCTGTAGTCAGTTTACAGTGAGCATTAAATCAGTTTGTAAGTAATGGTTTACAGGGACTTGATAAATTTCTAAGTAGATCACGTGCTGAATTTATTTAAAGGACTAGTGAAAACCTGGAATTACTGGACAGAAGTTAGGATTCAGTGAGCTGGCCTCATAAACTGAAGGTCCTGGCTGGCTTACACTGCAGGTGGGTGTGTATCGTTGAAGAACGCCAAATGAGGATTAAATAGCTGTCCCGCACAGGATGTCCAGCATACAGGATGAAAATTGGTAACTTGAGGAACTTCATGAAGCAATCCTACATAGTCTGAAGGCAATCACTGATGAAAAGTGTTGAGAAATACATTTATCAATGTCATTTAAGTGTTCTTCATTCCATCATATGACAAACCCTCGAACGGAACCCGAACAGAACGCGATGAGTTAGACGAGATAGTATGAAGAGAAAGGAAAGCTTGTCAGTAGTATTACAGACAGGTGAAAATGATGTCGCAGAAGAAGAGTACGAGGGAGTTGTGCTGCTGAATCGCCGTCTTTCGTTCGAAACACAAGAGACGAATGACAACATACAAGAGTAACTCATGCAGCATCATTTCCATTCTGAAGGTTTGACACTTAATAATTACTCTTAATCCCCATGTAACACAAAATGTATTGATTCAGCTTCGCCTCTTTATTCTCAGTGCTTATCTCATTGCAAACAACAGAATGTATAAGGAGCTACTGTAATTCTGCACCAAAATCAATAGTTCTCAGCGGCTACCATTGGTGTCAGTCGAGCTTTGAATGTTACTCACTCCATATTGTGAATTAGACAGAATCAGAAGTGGCTCCATGCCACATTCATTGATCCCGTCAAATCTTAAGCTAATGTTCAATAGTTCATTGGCTTGCTGGCGTCCTCAGCTATGTGCCCAGTTTTCTCAACTTACTGATAACACTCAATCCATGAAGGTTTTCATTACGCTCATCACAACAGCTACGTGAATGCATGTAGAACTTCGTTATTATATTCCTGAAAGTATTCTTTACTTACTTTTCGAGATATTTCAGCCATTGATGAGCCCAAAACCTTCACAAAACATCTATTTAGTGCTATTGATTTCTTAAGACTCTACAACTGAAATCCTGTGCTAAAGCAATCACTTTTATTATTTCTAAAACTTGCTTTCGAAGCGTTTGGCACTAGAACATTAGGAAGTGTCTTTTATTTTCAATCGAATTGTTTTCTGACTTTTAGGAATTTTAAGCGATTAAAAATGCCCAATGAAATTTTCAAAAGAATGCTTACTGAACAAAGAATATTCCTTTCGATGACTACATCAACAGGTTCTAAAGTTATATATACATTACAGTGCATGAATGAATTAGTGTTATTAACAACATTATTGTTGTTTAAATAACATCGAATCAATAATAATAATAATATCAATGGATTACAGTTCAATGGCATCAACATAACAATACACTACACTGAATATCAGACAGATAAATTAGGAAAGATAATAATACAAATTCATGAACCTATAGTCTCAACTAGTAGTATTGGTTAGACTTGCTCCTTCTGCATACGGAACACTGCTTGTTTAAGGCGAATCGCAAAAGCCTCTACTGTTTGGGGTATACCGTACCTGGATGTTCTCGGCAATTTATTTGGTGCCAGGCAGATGATGGAGAAGGATTCTTCAATACTGGCTTTATGGCTAGTTTGAACCAGATGTTCTAATAAAAAGCTTTTGGTGCTTTTCACCACACCGCTATTAAACCCTACAGGTAGATGTTCCTAAGCGATCACGAAAAATCAAGTTCCTGAAGAAACAGCTCCACCACAAGCGCAGTTGAATCGGTAGATACAATTAGAAGTGGCTAGCTAGTCTAGGTACTTCATCTTTCAATCGAAGAATAACCAACCATCAGTCGTGTAAAAAATATGACTTGTAGTTTGTTAGCATTAAAAGTTCTTTGAACTGATTTTCTTAACTTCTCCATAATTATTCCACTAGTTACATCGATCTTGAATTGCAGTAGTATGACGTCTAAAGGCTTCTTGTTTATGGATAGTGAATAATCCTTTCTAACTTTCTTAGTTTTATGTTTCCTGATGAATTTGTCTAGGTAGCTATTTCCAATTAAGGTGTCATAATGATATTATTATTGATTCGATGTTATTTAAACAACATTAATGTTGTTAATATCAGGAATTCATTCACTATTATGGCTGGATATATAACTGTAGAACCTGATGATGAAGTTATCGAAAAGAATATTTTTTCTTCAGTAACGATTCTTTTTAAAATTTATCATAAATATTTTGAAACTTACATGTTTTGCCAAGTTAAGAAAGTTTTTCCTGTCTCCAGTAACCAAGTTGGACATGCCTGAAAACACAAGAAAACATGCCGCCATATGTCATAATAATAGCAAGGATAAATTGCACTAATGTTAGAAATTCTCAGCTTTTAACATATGCATTTAATCTCAAGAGTTAGTTCGTTAGGGTTTCATTTGTTTCAATTTTGATGACGGATTGATAACAGTTAGAGAACCATTGAAAACCACTAGGGATTACTGGACGGCTGTCTCATCTTAGTTCGGGACTTATCCTTAGGACGCCGCCACCGTGATCACACTTGAAATAAATAGAATCCCTACAAACTAACTCTGAAACATTATTCTGATGCTTGTTAATGACTGGTTGCAGGATGAAGTTTCCCTCAGTCCTAGTGACAAGTCGTGACCGGTGGGGTCCACTCGGTCAAGGGTGAGGACAAATGCTGTCCGAGGATAGTGGCTTGTGGTCACGATAAAATCACGAATAGGTAGAAGTCAGAATTCATGGGCCACTGAATCACATACAGTTCGCTTACGTCTGCTACACATAGCTGAAGCTGTTGCAATAAGGTCGACTAGACCGGAACTTTGTATCCAAAAAAGAACATGTCCAGACGCTGTTCCTACCGTCGCCATACTTGGATTGATGACTCTTCTTCTCACCAAGAGTGCATCTTCTCCCTGACGCTCTTAGTTTGTTTTTTTCTTTGCTTATTATTACAATTATTATTGTTATTCGTCATAATTTATACCCTTCATTCAAACATTCTCCCAATAGTATCGAATTTTCCATTTGTACTCTCCGGACTTATTATTAGTGATATTATCTCTTTTCTCAATATGTGCCTCCACCTGTTTCATTTCACATATTCGTTATTTCATTATGAACCTCTCATTACAGTCTTACTATCTCCTGTTTAATATATACCACTTTGTACTAGCCACTCACCTGACACCATATATAATTGAACTGACTTGTCAATTTCCCTACCCCACACTCCACAAATCTATTATGACTAATCACCACTGTTGTCTTCCATTTCACCGAAATATTTTTTAATTGTTTTCAACCTAGCACGTTTGTCACACAAATACGACTATTTATTTTGACACCCTATAAGTAATCTGTTATTCTACGTAAAAAATGTATACGCCGCATAACTAACCATTATTGTAACGACAGTAAATATTATATTTTATAATTGTGCACGAACCTGAAGAGGAAAAATTATTGGAAGAAATATTCTTCGTTCAAAATGACTTTTAATTCATGATATGGGAATATTTCACACTATTAAGTCTTATGTAATAATGCCTCATTTAGCCTAATTCTTTAATATTATCAACTCTGTTATTAAAAAGAAGGAAGGCATCTATGTCGATATCCACACAGATTAAAACTGTAACATAAAATCTCATTCGATGTCTGAATAACAGGGATTACGTTTGAAAAATTGTACTCAACTCAAAATAACACGTATGCAAACTGACATACGCTATCGAAATTTTTAAAAAAACTCTAAAAAGAAATACATTACTTACCATAAATTATATGTTTCCCCAAGGGTTTCAAAACGCCATATAATCTGTTGGTATCAGGACCACTTATACAATCCAGGACCACATTAATCCCGTTAGGATAAAGTCTGTTAGTTGAATAAGAAAAAGCACATAACTGAAATATGAACATCGAACAATTTAATATAGCAGAATGAAACTTTTTCCTAGTTAATTATGAAAAAGCGAATGTAGAAAAAGAAGTTGAATTCAACTCCCTGTGTTCGAACAAGATTACCAAATAGCTTTACCCTATAAACATTGGCTTAAAGACCTAAAAAGGACATTAGGGATTTACGACTGTTTAGCTCTGCTAACAAACCCCACAGTAAAGTAAGAGGACTAATTGAAGTTGGACAACTTCAGATTTGACTGCTCAGAAGATGATCAGCAGAAAATTCTTTTGAGAGAGTTATGGCTTACACAGAGAAACCTGCAGAAAAACCTTGTTTTGATTTTTCTAAACACGCTGAAATTATTTAAAGTAACTTTATAATCATCAAAAGCGTCTTTTAAAAGACAAATAATTAATTCATAAAATAAGAAGAGTTATGGCAACGATGATTTCGCATATGTTTGATGAACACTGTCACACAAAATCGAAGACTCGCAGGTGAAAACCAACAAACTGGCTGAAGAGGCGAGCAGCGATGACAGGTTTGCAGGTGAACATACAGAAGACGGTGACAACAACGGGCACCAATCACCCCTTATCTAGGAGGCATAGTTGCAACCACAAGCAGTCAGAACGAATGAAGATGCTAAAGCCAACCAGATAGAATAGGAAAGGAAAGGCAGCATACCTTCATCAACGGGAAACCAGTTTGGAAATATTCTCCACTCAGCCAGCATAAACAACAAGATTCGAGTTCTCAACACAAATGTTGGGTCAGTCAGTCCGTTCTTCTATATGGGTCAGAAACTTGGCCAGCGTGTCACGAAAAAGATTTTCAATAAAGTGATAGACGTTTATCAACAGCTGCCTACGTCACTGGCTCCATACTGAAGATACAGTGACCAGCAGGCCAAAATGAATTAGCAACAAGAAACTCTGGCTGGCAACAAACCAACAGGTGAGAGCCGATTGCTCAACAAATATATAGGAGAAAATAGATGTGGATCGGGCACACATTTAGGAGACCATCGAATGACATCACGCGCAATGTAGGCCATCGCTCAAGTGGAATATAAATGGGAAGCCTTGAATGGGTCGTTGGTGCGAGGGTGACATGGAGGAGGTCGTGTGGCGAGGGTGACGATATGAGATAATATGGGTAATCGTGGATCCAGCTGATGAGGATGGCAGAAAAAAGAACATGGACGAAATGTTGATATAAGATTAGCACTTGTGCATTGTGGCAGAGTATAATTCCATAATGGGTGAAATTTATTTTGATAAAGTCTCACAGTGTTATACACTCATATTTACTGATGACCAAGTTTCGAGCACAATTCATTACTGCTCATAATCATATCCAGGTACCACCCACACAACATTCTAACTTAGTCCATATAATTCCATTATTTTCCACACCTTGACTTGGATTGTAGTAGTATTTACCATATTTCCGGTACTAATGATGAGTCATTCCTATTGCATGTGTTGGATGTAGACTCGATGAACAAGGATTCAGTAATCAATTATATAAACGAAGTTAGAAAGTTGTGTGAGTAGTGCCTTGATATGATTATGAGCAGTAATAAATTGTGCTCGAAACTTGGTCATCAGTAAACATTACTGTATAACACTGTGAGACTTTATCAAAATAAATTTTACCCATAAAGGTGGAGATGTGTTGTGGAAGCCCTATGTTCCACTCGGATCCCAATGGAACAATAATAATAATCAGGTGTGAATATTGATTATATGACGTTATCTGTGAGAATTAACTGACCAGACGTTTCCCTCATATTTTCTTAAGCCCTCATTTATCTGCGTTATCAATGTCCCATTAACTTAGCTGAATAAAATTGAAAACGTAGAAATATTGAAGAAAAAAATAATCGTGAAAATATAACAACATGAGAACGCTTACTTTTTAATTTCCGCAATACAATCTTGATCCGGTTCTATGAGAACATCATAGATTTTAGACAATTTCTCATGTTTGGCTTTTGAAGCTGTACCAATTAATGTGACATTTGGAATAAGCTTGACTAATTGTCCAATAGCTGTTCCCTATATTTGTTTGGTAAAAAAACAGAAACAATGCAGTTCAATTGGGCGATTCATCAGCATAGACAAAATTCGTAATTTTCAAGAGATGATTTCTAGGGATTGAATTTCTTTGTCGAGTTTGACCACAGATTGATATCAGTTAGAGAACCACCGAAAACCAGCTTGGAGTACTGGGCAGCTATTCCATCCTAGACTGGGACTCATCGACAGTACACACCCACCACCAGGATTCGAACCAAGGGCCTTTCGGTTACGAGGCAAGCTCATATACCATTCAGCCAATGAGACCCGATTCACTGACCAGCCCATGAATTCTAACTTCTACCATTTCGTGATTTTTTAGCGTGACCATCAACCAATGTCATCGGAGGGAAATCCGTCCTCACTGGTCACGACTTCTCACAGAACCCCAGATAACTCCGTCCTGTAGGAAGTCACTGGTGCCTTACCTTGTAACCGGAAGGTCGTCGGTCTAAAACCCAGTGATTGCGTTACGTCAATGATTCCCCAACTATGATAAAGCGGCTGTCCAGTGCTCCAAGCTGGTTTTCAGGGCTCCAGTAACTGATATCAATCCGTGATCTAACTCAAAACAAAAAGAAAAATCCCAATTTATAAATAAACGTATTTAACATATTGATGCTTCGCCCATGTAGCATAAAGTTGAATTCGAGTGATTTGGATTCACTCGCCGGTCTGGGAGCTAAGACAAATGGCATGCAATACTGATGAAGAAAACGTCAAACAGTCCGGTGCTTAAATCACTTCGATCTTGTCAGCTTATCACTACTGGTTGATATGAGTTGTATCCGCCTACTTATTTCAGTAAATCAGTAGTATACAGTGTCTTAAGTGAAATTCCATTGAATTTGATTTCATATTTTCTTCAGATGGATTATTTGTTTTTCAAATAACATTAAGGAAAGATACATTAACTTACTGTTCAGTAAATGAATATTGGATTTTGATTCTACTTAATTTTGGGATTTCTCTGAGCTATGAAACATGATCGCCTGAGGCATCCTAACTTCAGTAGTTTATTCTCTAAATAAAAACTCCAGTATGCGGTCATAAGCTTTCAATCAGACCGTAGTGTATGCTAGTAGAAGAAGGGTTTCTAAACCCTAATTTTATTGAAATGTAGTCAAAAGTGAAAAGAACAAACTGGTAGCTAGTGATGACTGTGACAAATTAGTACTGGTAGTGGTTGTGTGTCCTGTGCTACTGACAAAAATTTACAAGTAGTAGCAACAACAACAACAAGCAGCACCAATCATCATCAACGGGAGAGATATAACAGAGGTTACTTCCTGGCTTCACTTATCTTGGGAGCATCGTAACAACCACAGGCAGTCGGAACGGATAAAGATGTCAAAGGAAGGCAGAATCGAAAAGGCAAGATACGCCTTCATCAACCTGAAACCACTTTAGATATCTTCTGCACTCAGCCAGCATAAAGAACAAGATTTTGATTTTGAACACTAATGTCAAGGTGATCCTTCTTTACGGGTTAAAAACTTGGCAGACGCATCATGGAAAGCATTTCCAACAGGCTACTACAGACTTTTATCAACAGCTGCCCCTTCGCGTGCTCCACACTAGGCCAGTAAGAATCAGCAGCAAGAAATTCTGGTTGGGAATAAACCAACCAAGAGCCTAACGCTCAACAAATATATAGGCAAAAATGGAGGCGGATCGGGTATAGGCTGAGGAGGTCGTCAAATGACATCGCGTTCAATGCAGGCCATCGCTCGAGAGGAATAAGAACGAGGAGCGACGAGTCGGTTATCACTTACAGGATGGCATGGAGGAGATTGTGTGGCTAGAAAGAAAAGATGAGAGATTATAGGTGGTCGTGGACGCGGCTGAAAAGGAGAGCACCACATAGAAGAAAGTGCAGATGTGTTATTGAAGCCCTATATTCCACTCGAAACTCAAGAGAATAAAAATAATAATACCAGTGAAAAATTTACTGCACAGGCTTCATTTACTTAATAGGTAAGGCTGTTCAGATAAGAAGGCGAAACATCGTCGGGTGCAAATCTCAGTGAATAGCGTATCACTCATGTATGCACGACAGATGAATAAAAAATATATATTCAAACTACCAATAACATCAAGAAATAATAAAAAACTGACTTTTCGTTCATTTTTATAAAGCTAGCGACAGGAAATGTCAAGTAACAAAGATTAATGATGTTTTCAATAGTCACTAAATATATTTATATTCACAAGTTGCCAGTCAACAGTAATAAACTCTCGGAGTTTAAATCTACTCTTTTCAGTGACTGACACCATCCATCTTTATGATAATTCAATTGAATTTAAGATTTTCCCGTCGACTGATTGCACTGAAGTGCTCGGTCTCAGGTTGACAAGTTGGCTTCTTGTGCAGATGCTTCGACGATGTCTCGGCATGTAATTTGAGGTTAATTGGTGGATGATAACCAGCAGTGGAACCCAGGATGCGCATTTCGTCCTATTTTGGACTCGTCATATGCATGTACCTGCCTTTCTCTGTGAGTGATGATGTTCCCACCGAGGCTCGAACCCAGTGCTCATAGTTTCAAGCACCAAAGCGTTATCCACTAGCAAGAGGTGGTTTTCGTGGCCCAAGTGGTCTAGTGGAGAACGCTTTGGCGTTTGAAACTATGGGCACTAGGTTCGAGCCTCGGTGGGAACATCATCACTCACAGGGAAATGCAGGTACATGCATATGACGAGTCCAAAATAGGACGAAATGCGCATCCTGGAGTCCACTGCTAGTCACCATCCACAAATTAACTATCTTTATGATACTTTTGGCATGTTGAATTCCCCTAATTTTGCCTTATTTCCAAACAGTTATATTTGCAGGTTTCATCAGAAAAAGCTACAGTCGACTGAACCACTGACTGTTGAAGTAACTGAGTTAGAGCAGCTTTGAATCCTGACCTTATAAAACCATGTTAATGAGTAATTTACCGGCTAAACTTCTCGAGGTTGACAATATTTATACATTATGTGTTTTTATAAAACAGGTCCGATTGTTTCACCGGTTAGGACAAATCTGTCTTCTGTATTTTGTTGTGTGATTTCAGTGGGAATGAGTATTTGATATTTGGTCTTCAGACGAGTTACATGTTGTCTCCCTGTGTAGTGGCAGTCATATTATTTCATGTCTAGTCTAGCCAGGGTCAAGTTTGCTCGACGTTCTGATGATACGTACTATCGGACTGACCCCTAGAAGTACGATTTCGCTTCTCGGCTCTCTGAGCTAAGCTCATGCAAATAATTCCATATCTAGTTTTGGTGTCATAATTGTATTCCTATCATTTTCATCACGGCGAGATGATGCTTGTGCTCACGCCATCTTATCATGATCAGAAACTGGTTGTCAACTACACCCGCCTAGCAAAGCCGTTTATTAATAGAACCAAGTATTTATGAGATACAAGTTAACAACAATGAGTGTTTGACAATTTCCCTGATCCAAGCAAGTTAATAAGAAGTCTCATACAATGATATTGGAGTGGATATTCCAAATGAAAAAACAACACACAGATATATCTCATATTAATAATTTAATTCAAATAATATCCAGAAACTAATTGTACATCAGACTGGATCGATCACTGGACGTCCATCAACGTTGTGAAATCTGATTGATTGTTGGCCTGACTAATAGATTATAATCATTCATCCCTTAGATGTTGAGTGCAACAAATGGCTACAGCAGAACATTTTCCTTTAACCCCGTCCTTTTTAGTCTTTTCTGACTGGCTTCACAATTGTCTAAAGGCTTTCACATTTCCTCTTCATATGACCACCTCCGTGTCATTCTCTCTCCAAAGTTCAACTTCTAGCTTCTCATTCAGCTACCACTCAAGGAAGGATGTGATCTACTGGTTCTCTGCTAGAGTTTTTGTTGCTGATGCTTTGTAACAGTCTGAGCTTGAGTATCAGTTAATAGATGTAGTCAATATTTGTACAATTAGAATCCTTAATGATATAATTTCTAGAAATCCTATAATTGACAATGACAGTCAGGTGGTATAAGAACATCTAAAACAGAACACATTTCCACAGAACTTTCAACTTAACTAGGTGAAATATAATTTGATGAACAACGTAAATCGACTATGCTAACCAACTAGGTTTTCAATCCTGACTGATTATCCAACTCTTTGAAGGTCAGGCCTATTGGCTGTGTCTCCATGTAAAGTGCAGCTGCTTAAGCAAAGTGCCGAATTATATAAATCAACACTGCTTCTGAATTTGTCTATTAACAAACACAATTTGTCGGAATACAGTTGTCCTAGTTTAGAGCAAATATTAGAGTTTAAGTGTTTGAAAAAACTAAACGAACAAGAAAGGTAGACTAAAAAGGGGAATAATTAGGGAGGATGATACATTACTACAATCATTTTGTAGATTAACCTGTCTTTCTCTAAATATTATGCATCTCCCTGTCCTCGATACATTTTTCGATCAAGAGTGGGGGATGGTAAAAAACATGTCAAGATTGGGTTTCTCTGCGGAATTAAAGATTATAAAAAAACATACTCTAATTTATTGTCGGTCCTTTAAATATGCTATTAAGACGTATATCTAACAAAATGTTACAAGATGCATTCGAACTAGCTAAACAACTGTCCGGTAATTAGATCATCTCAGTCTGTCAAGCTAGCAAGTATTAAGGGTTGTTATGAATGGCATTCAAATAATCAAATCTACAAATCAGTTTTTTGCAGTCTCTTTCATTGACTGTTTGAAGGATTTCATTATGAGCTGATATCAGTTAGAGGACTATTGGAAAACTACCACTGGAATACTGGACAACTGTTTCATCATCCTAGTTTGAAACTCTTCATCAGCACGCACCTACCAGAGAAGTTCGAACCCAGGACCTTCCGGTAACAAGGCGAGTGCGCTCGTTGACCATTAAGCCAATGCGACCCGATCCAATTGCCAGTCCATGAATTCTAACTTCTGACAATTCACGATATAGCGTGACCACTTCGCAAAGTCTTCTTCGATGAGTTACTGCCTCACTTTCAACCTGCTGCACCCTACTAGTCATGGCCTCCCACTAGAACCCTAGGTAACTGCCTGAAAAGGGCTAGTTGCTAGTGAGCTTCAGATCAGTTCTCAACTATTGGTTTTTGAAGGGATTTTGTTTGATTGGTTAGAGGATTTCACCATGAACTGATATCACTTAGAGAACCATTGGAAAACCACCACTGGAGTACTGGACGGCTGTTTCGTCCTAGTTTGGGATGCCTGCTTTCTTTATTGTCACTTATGGTAGTAAGCAGTGCACATACTGTGATCTGAATAGCTACAGTTTTCAAAAGGATCTTTGCCGAGTTTCAACTCAAACTGTGTAAAGTGCAATTGTCGAATATGATCCAATATATCACCAGTTTAATTTGTGGATGGTGACCAGCAGTGGAATCCAAGATGCACATTTCGTCCTATTTGGGACTCGTCACTGGATGTACCTGAATTTCCAAGTAAGTGACGATGTCCCCACCGAGGCTCGAACCCAGTGCCCATAGTTTCAAACGCCAAAGTGTTATCCACTGGGCACTGGGTTGGAGCCTCGGTGGGGACATCGTCACTTACTGAGAAATGCAGGTACATCCAATGACGAGTCCCAAATAGGACGAAATGCGCATCCTGGATTCCACTGCTAGTCACCACCCACAAATTAAATTCTAATCAAATGCCCAGACATAGTCAAAGCATATCCACAAGAAGCCGACATGTCAACCTGAGACCAAGCACTTGGGTCTAATCAGTAGAAGGGTAAAAATCTCAAATTCAATTGAAATATATCACCAGTTTGCCTAATTAGCTGACTGGACTGATTCACCGCCTTGAGTTGAGTCAAACTGGGTACACTGCTTAGGAGCTTGGCATCAAATAAGCCAAGCAGCTGTCCGGTGTTTATGTTACCTTAATCTACCTAGGCAGCACTACTGGTTGACCTGACTGGTATCCAAATATTCATACTAAACAGTGAGTAATATATAGATAGAACCGTGCGAGTAATTCGAATAGATTACAGACAGACACTTCTCGATAGATATTGCGCCTCATGTACTATCAAATGAGCTGCATAATCTACCAGTTGAACAATTCCTAATTCCATGTGAGAGAATGTATGTCATACAAAAACTTCTAAGCACCGAGACTGTTAATTACTGTGTTTTTCTTCCTTCAACAAAGTACCTGAGAAAACTACTGAAAATTTTACTATGCTGAATGATCTTCACACACATACAGCTATTAAATATCTAAGAGAATGTAAATCGCTGTTTGATTTCAGTTTACTTTTTGAAGTTGCTTAATATTGCGTTAATGGCTTGGATATGTATTTATTCGCGTTAAAATAGTTTAGGAAAGTTAAGTAAGTTAGAAAATTATTGAAAAAAAAAGAAAGTTTTGTGCATTTAACTCATCTTACAGTCCAACATTTTAGCAGTTCACAACGACAACACAAACAGGGATTGAACCTAGGACATAAAGGTTCCGAAGAAAAAGAAATACCTTTCATCTACATCACTGGAATCCCCAGTTCTTCCTATCATTCAGGGATGTCGTAATTGAAGTTGGTTTGTGATGAGATCTAAGTTTAAGTCAATGAATCCATTATGGGTAAAAACACTTTGATAAAGTTAAAGTATCACACTGTTATACAGTAATATTTACTGATGACGTTTCGAGCACAATTTATTACTCTTCATAGTCACATCAAGGTATTCACATAGGTTTCTGACTTTGTTTATATAATTCTACTACTTTTCATCGCTTGATTTGATTGGCAGTAGTATTTTCCATATTTCCGGTATGAGTAATGAGTCATTCCAATTGCATTTGTTGGGTGTAGACTCAATCTCTCTTTCCAACTATCTACATTACTTCTTAGAATTTCGGCTGTGTCCCACCTACTTTACTGTGTGGTTGTGTTAATGCACGCAGTGCAATCGCTGAGCTCGTTTCTAAATTACTTATCTTCGTGGGATCAATAATTCTGACCTTATCTAAAATCTTATGTTCTGACAATCTGACTACCCGCAATCTGGTAGTTTGACCCATGTAGTTGACCTCACTCACAGTCATTGCAAAGTATTTTGTAAATTATTTTATTTTGTTTAAATGGGTCCACCGGGTCCTTTAACCTACAGAGCTTATCCTGCCTGAGTGAGTTTGTAGGTTTAAATGCCACTCTAATTCCTGCTTTATATAAAATCCTACGTAGGGATCCTATATGTCCCTTCTTATATTGTATAACATTGGATGCCTTATATTCTTTCTTATTTATGTTATCACTACTAGTTTCACAATTATTTTTATTTTGCTTTTGACCTTTTCTCATCTTCCTAATGAATTTTATAGGATGGTTAGCTATTTGATACCAACTCTTCTTCAATCTGTTTTATTTCATCATTTAGGTCTTTTCGTGTACTACTTAGTGCTACCGCTCGCTTTGTACAACTTTTAACTAAGCCTGCCTTAACAGTTGACGGCTGACAGTTAACTACCGATCAAACCAAGCGATTAAAATAATGGAATTATATAAACGAAGTTAGAAAGCTGTATGAGTGCCTTGATATGATTATGAGCAATTAATTGTACTCGAAACGTGATCATCAGTAAATATTACTGTATAACTCTGTGAGACTTTATCAAAAGAAATTTTACCCATAATGGAATTGTACTTTACCACAGTGCCCAAGTTTTATTCTTATATTAAGTCAATGAAGTCACTACAGTTCAACAGTCAGTAAGATATTCTTTTTGTGGCAAAACTACCAGTTGACGTTTCATGATTAGAAGCCATTCTGAGTGAGCGTAAGATTTAAAGTCCTACGTCCAGCAGTCTCTGTGTCCATTTAATACTTTATCTGCTCTTTTTTGGCAAGATGAAGTGGCCGTAACCAAAGCGTGCTTTCCGTATGTATATGTAGGCAGATTCCAGATTGATTTTTCAAATAAAAAGCAATGATGTGTGAAGTTCTACTCTGAAGCCCTTGATAGACTTATCTGACTCATCTAACCATGACAACAATCTTAAGGAATCCCACCATTTCTTTGTTTCAAACATTTGAAAACATGTGAGGCCTTGACTACTCATGATTTTAAGCCAGAAGTTAACGGACAGAAGTATGTACACGTCCTCTTTCTACCTCAGCCTCAAAATAAATTGGAGGGGTATGAAAACTTCAAGAGACGTTGAACATTGTGCTTTATTACCTAGCAGACTAGTATTAAATGGTGTCACCTACCTAGGAATTCGGTGCTGAATGTGTATCGTTGGGGTCAAACTATGGCATTGAGTTCACCTACTGTCTACAGATATTCTATGAAGAGTGAAGGCTGTCAGTCACTTATTTAGTCCACCTTAACTTTGCGGATGATTTATGTATAACGCTAAACAAAATCAGCGACCTTCAGACGACAGCGAGCAAGTTAGGAGATGAAGCACCTAAGATATTGAACTTCAAGTGAACACAGAGAAGGCAGGGTTGATGAAATGCCCAAAACAATAATGACAAGCACCAATCACCACCGACGGTAGAAGTCCAACGGAAGTTAACCCTTTCATTTATCAAGTGTAGGCGGCACAAATGAGGTTGTCAATAGCAAGATCAAGGATGCGAGTGGTATTCAATACTTTGAAGTCAGTGTAGAATTCTGCTGTACTCAGAAAAAGAAACAAGTTCCGAATTCCCAAAGCTTATATTGTGTCAGACAGCGCTTCTAAATGTTTCACAGAACTAGCCCCTCAGAAAAACGCATTTCCAACCGGCGCCTTTAGACTTTCATCACTATTTGGCTTCACTGGTTCCATACTGAAGATCAGATTACCAGATTAGATGACCTTCAAGGAACTCTTGAGACGAATCAATCAAGAATTTACTGTCGAAGAAATATGCTGAAGTATATATAGATGGACTTGACACAAGCTGAGGAGACCGTTTAATCCCATCACGTTCCAGTGTAGTCGTCGAGCGGAACCAAAGTGGGAACTAACGTGTCATATATTAATTCGATTTTGTGACATTGAAGAGATCACTTAGGCAGAAATGAGGGCCTATGGACTATTATAAAGTCAAACAAAGGGAACCATAGAGAGTGGGACGAGCTATTGAAGCCTAATGTTTCATTATCGAACCCAAGGAAATAATAGTACCTTTCTGGTGAGGAAGTATCAAATGACGACATCCACACAGAGAAAATAAACTACATCTTCGTCATAATATATAAAATTTAACAAAATAATTCACTTACCACTCCACCTCCAGCTGAATGCACTAAAACTACATCACCAGAACGTATATTAGCGATATGATGAATTAAAATATAAGCTGGTATATAAGCATATCCAATCACAGCGGCTTTATTAACATCCAATGACTTGGGTCTTGGCAAAATAAGTGAGCTGACTGTATTCTCTGTTGATTCATTATTTTCTGTATCTTCTGCTGGTGTATTTGAACTTGACTGATTTGCGCTAACTTTCTCTATAACTGGTAGTACAAGACGTTGACTCCAAGCACCATTTTCAAGTAGTACAACCACTGGATCACCAACCTAAGCGAAGATGAGATTTTAGAGAAAAGAAGCGTTTATACTGCTCACAATCATTACATGAATATTTAACCATAAGGCAGTAATGTGTAATGTTTAAATAAATAAAATTACTTTCTGTCTTCGTGAACTGAAGCAAAGCTGCATACAAAGACTACTGCTCTTAACAAATCTGTTAATTTCGCGTGATTACAGTTATAACTGAAGTTCAGGTGTATATCTGCGTATTGACACGATTCAAAGCCGTTGCGCCTGGATGCCAACTTTGACTAGATCTCTGATAAACGAAGACTCTAGCGAGATCAAAAATTCGTTTGCCTGGGGTTTTAGTTTCATAATAAGGAATGGACAGTCATGTGACATTCACACTAAATCTGTTGATGAATGAAATGAAGCTAATCCGTACCTGAGGCTGGGGATCACTTGATAAAAATATCACACCAGAAACCTAAATTTCAACGATTCGATTCTTATTGTCCCACATAATTCGGTGTTTTGTTTCATTCTCAAACGTTAGACACCGAATTCTTACTTACTAGTATATTCAAATTAAAAGGAATTCAAACTTCCTGCTGGTTTTGAACATGCCTTATTCAGTGCTAGGGAATAGGTTTAACCAACTGCTATTACAAACAAGCAATAAGTGTGACCGATCGTCAAGTACACAAGCACAAGAGTAATTGCTTAGTTTCAGCTAACTCATCTTATCACCTTAAGTAACGCTGGAGTCATAAACATACTAATTAGAAACAAGTGATGCAACAAGGATATTCCACCTCTTCCTCTCTGTTAGATGATAGGTGGCAGGTGGTAGGAAACCCTGACTGAAATAGCTTTCGTCAGCAAGGTGTATCTACAATCTTGAAAGAAATCGTGTCCTTTTTAAGATTCAAACCCGTGTCACACACGGCTGCAGTCATCAAGCTACCACTTAGCTCTTTGGGTTCGTGACTGACCTCCTGTAGGACCGTAATATATAGTTTGACTGGATATTATGTAATGATTAATGTCACGCATCTAGTACTTATTGTTGGTTCAGATTGAATTCTGTCTGTAATGTATGTGATTTGGCCACCATGTCGAAACAGTCCTATAAGAGATCAGCTTCAAGCGTGAAGTGCTCAGTGGTAACGTCTCTGATTGCAGTACTCCGTGACACGAGTTCCGATTACAGAAGAGACATGCATTCCTTTGAAGTTCAATGGTCTGATTGTTGTTTTCGACATGAAGTTACCAGCGGCACACCCGACCTATCCTCTTTTTCAAGCTTACTACTGATTTCAAAATAGAAAATATCCCCATTTAGACATTTGGAAAACAGAAAGATTGAGCGAAGAAATATTTACTTTTCAATTAGATCCTCATCTCTATCTGGCTCTACTCTAATATATATGTGTAGCATTTTTATTACAATACACAACAATTTACCAAACAAGTGGTGATATGTTTGTTAACAAAATGTCACTGGGTTGATAACTAACGAAGAAAATCAATACACATTTAAAAGGTAGAAATGGTTAGAATAAATTAATTTTACAAGGATAACACGTAATTAAAGATGAAGTGGTCAAAATAAAAATACAGTAATTTGAACAATTATAATTTAATAGGTTTAGGGGGAGGGGGGCGACGTAGTCCTGTCTTGAAACGATGGCCACGGTAAGGAAAGTGGCTGCACAAATTTCTTTTGTACACATAGGCTTGGTTTCTTCTGGTGGATTCCGATTGCTTCAGCTGTTTGTAGAAGACGAACTCGTAGAGCAAAGTTAAGATTAGTCGGAATGCGATAAACAATTTTAAATGCAGTATTAACATCAACCTTATGCTCACTATCAACAAGGTGTGCTAAAATAGAACTACGAATAGATCTTGTTTGTCCCTTGCTTAACAAGGCTGAATGATGTTCAGAAATACGACGACGACGTAGTTCTATTTTAGCACACCTTGTTGATAGTGAGCATAAGGTTGATGTGAATACTGCATTTAAAATTGTTTATCGCATTCCGACTAATCTTAACTTTGCTCTACGAGTTCGTCTTCTACATACAGCAACTGAAGCAATAGGAATCCACCTGAAGAAGACAAACCTGTGTGTACAGAAGAAATTTGTACAGCCACTTTCCTTACCTTGACCATCGTTACAAGACAGGACTACGTCGCTACTCCCCCTCCCCCTAAACCTATTAAATTATAATTGTCCAAATTATTTAATTTTTATTTATTTTGACCACTTCATCTTTAATTACGTGTTATCCTTGTAAAATTAATTTATTCTATCCATTTCTACCTTTTAATTGTGTGTATTGATTTTCTTCGTTAATTATCAACCCATTGACATTTTGACACTGTTTAATTATTGTTAACAAACATATCAGTGCCACTTGATCGGTAAATTGCTGTGTATTGTAATAAAAATGCTATATATATTAGAGTAGAGCCAGAGAAGAGGATCTAATTGAAAAGTAAATATTTCTTCGCTCAATCTTTCTGTTTTACTACTGATTAGCAAACTAAATGTTTTAGGAGTACGCTGTCTGGCAATCAAACATGGAATCCATGTGTGACTGGTGGGCAATTATACCACTGAACCAGTAACATGTTATAGTAACCTAGCAGATGATGAAATTATTTGTAAAACGTTAAATACTGGATTTGAGTGTCAAAGCGGATATCATCACTTAGTGATGACGTAGATACATCCAGATGACGAGTCCCAAATAGGACGAAATCAGACAACTAGACTCCACTACAAGTCACCATCAATTAAACAGTATATCCTCAACTTTCATACTCACTCATACTCACGTTTCTTTGATTTTTAGTGAATATAAATCACCGAATAAATAAATGAACGAATCTCACGCGTTTGTGTCTGTCATTGATCAGACTTCAATGAACAATTGAGTACAATACTTTGCCGACTGTCTTGTCAGTTTGAGGATAACTTCGATTTCTTTTCATTCAGAAACTTATGGTATACACCAACGTGAATATAGACCGTATTCTAGAGACTTCAAGACAAAGTATATAACTAACCGAAGGCATTGGAAAGGCATATATCCTGCACATATGCGCTCCTCTATCCACTCTCCCGCATATCCTTAACCAACTTTGTCTGACAAATGAATTATAGCCAAAAACACAAACCTTCACTTTTTTCCCCATTTCCGCAGCTAACAGCTGAAACATAAATTATCAGCCTGGAAAAACCTATGCAGTAGTGAAGAGAGAGAGAGTAGATATCTAACTCACCATGTAGAACAAGTGTCACGGTCAAAGATGTCACACTTTATAAAAACCTACACTATGAAAGAGTAAGAAGGGTAACATAATCTCCACTATTTTTTTTCTGAGTTGTCAATTTTTTAATCCCTAGAAAACTTTCGTCTGCATACACCAATGAAAAGAATTATATTAAACGTTAAAATTCATAAAATTAATATATATATATAAACATAAATCATGACTATGAGAGGATAGAGACAATAAAAAGTTGAATGAAAAATTATTCATTTTGTCTATGGCCTTTTAGAGATGTACAGTACTTATTGATTTATAGCCTTTAAAGCAGATACCATAATAATAATGATAACTACATTCCCCATAACTCTCAAGTGGAACAGAGTCAGTATTATCTGATTGAAAAAAAAAACAGTTTTATGCCCATACTAATAAACAAACAAAAAATTGGATGGAACTGCTTTTTATGGATTCCTATAAAGTAAATAAATTACTGAGAAAATTCTCACTTAGATATTTAGAAGGCAGAAAAAATAGAGGAAGGTTGAATGCAAAAAGGATATTCACATTTTCGATAACTGCCTCATATGGCTCCACGACTATCTATGCACATTAGATTTAGAGGTTATTCATTACTGACATGACTGATGTTCTTCTTTAAATGATATAGAGTTATTAAGGTCGATAGGATAGATCTTTTGAGAGATCTATCCACCGGAAACGTACTTGGAATGGACAACTAACTAATTTTACAGTTGGGTGCCTATTTCCAGGCAAAGGAACTTAATTCATTCGCTCTGCTCTAGGATAAGGAGAATTTGTAGTTCTGATTCCGTTGACTCGGAATTAGACTTCTTAAAAGCCACCCTCGCAGAAAACGGTTACCCGAACCGGTTTATTGACAGCAACATGAAAGATAAGCAGTCCAAACTGGTCACCGAAACAGTTCCAAAGAAAACCTTGTTCATGAACTTGGAATTCAAAGGTGATCAAGCTTCAGATATGCTCAAAAATCGTTTCTCTAAATCAGTCAGTAAGACGTTCTATGCAGCAAAATTACATATGACGTTCATTAGCCGCAAGTTGTTCTCCATCTCTGTAGAAGATAAGCTCCCCCGTCTGGCCACCTCCATGTGCATCTATCAGTTCACCTGCTCTTGTGGAGCAAGATACATTGGCCGTAGTCAGAGGACGCTTTCCACACGGATACGAGAACATATTCCAGCATGGTTTTACAAGGGAGAAAGGAAGTGTGTGCGAAGCTCTATTTTGGAACACCTGATCGACTTCTGTCACTCTGTCAACCCTGACCATGATTTTAAGATCATATGCAGAATCCATGCTAGCTTCCCGCGTTTTCTTCGTTATAGACTTCTAAAGACAGCTGAGACCTTGGCAACTCATGACTTTAAGCCAGACCTTTGTGTACCAAAGAAGTGTGTACAATCCCTACTTCTGCCTTGGCCGTAGAGGGATAGACATTTATTTATTTTGTTTATTTAGTTATTCCATGTACCTTTCCCTTATTGCTACGATTATTATTATCATTATTATTATTACTATTCTCACTCTGAATCTTTTCCACTTGACCCACTTGTCATTTTAAACCCAAAATTATTATTTTTTTACAATACTGAATTCCATCTTATCAAATTTCACACCGTTTTATGTGACATTTTATATTCGCCTACTAATTTTATAATTGTGTACCCCTTTCCAAAATCTATACACCTTATGTATTATTCTATATATGACATTAATTAGTTTGCCACTTGACATTAAACTATGATTATAATCACAAATATTTTAATTGCATTTCATACTATTATTATTATTTCATGTATTCACACCTTTGACCTAATTCCCTCACCGGATATAATTTCTAATAAAAGAAACCATATATATATACGATTGTACAGTTTGATAATAAATTCGCTGAAAAGAGTCTCTTCGCTGAACAGATGAAGATGTCAAAACATGGATCGCAAAGGCACCACAGACACTCATCACTCTGAAATCAGTCTGCAAATCCGCAGCACTCAGCATAAACAACAAGATTCAGATTTTCACCACTAATGTAAATTCAGAAAGTGCTGCTATATGCTTCAGAAGTTTGGTGTGTCACGAAAAACATTCACAATATACTACTGCAGACCATGATCAAGAGATGCCTTCATTAGTTCAAATGCGAAGATTATATTATTATAATATTATTATTAATCGCTCGGGTTCCGGCTTCAACAACACATCTTCACTTTGTCTAATCTTCTAGCATCCTCTTCAGCTAAGTTCTCAATCGCCCACAATCCATAATCTCCTCCATATCCCCCTCGCACCAAAGACCCACGTTTCACTTCTCATTTGGACTCCACTCGAGCGATGGCCTGCATTGTGCGCGATGTCATTTGACGGTCTCCTCAATGTGTGCCGATCAATCTATCTCCATTTTCTCCTACATATTTTTGAGCAGTTAGATCTCAACTGTTGGTTTTTTCTTGGCCAGCGTTTCTTGTTAATAATTCATTCTGGCTAGTCATTCGATCTTCAGTATGGAGCTATTGAAGGCAGCTGTTGATAGAAGTCTGCGACCTGTTGGAAATCCTTTCCGTGACACGCTGGCCAAGATTCTGCATACCCATGCAGAAGAACTGACTGATTGACTTCACATTGATGCTGCAAATCCGAATCTTGTTCTTCACACTAGCTGAGTGCAGAAGATTTCCAAACTGCTTTCTAGCTGATGAAGGCGTGTCTTGCCTTTTTGATTCTGGCTGGTGTTGACGTCTTCATCTGTTTCGGCTGCCTGTGGTGGAAACGATGCTTCCTAGATAAGTGAAGCAAGTAAGTAACCTCTGTTAAATCTCTCCCTTTGATGGTGATTGGTGCTGGTTGTTGTTGCTGTTGGCTGATTATCTTCATCACCTCCGCCTTCTCTATGTCTGCTAGAAAGGAATTGGGAGCAAGGAAATCTGATAATGCGAATCAGCCAAAAATTTAAAGCCTGACAAATAGGCTAAAGGAAATGAAGTAGCCAGTTTGGTGACATCATGAATCCAGATGGGAAACGACGAAATAGGTACTCAGAAATGATGTAGAGTAGATGAAAGTCTATGGGAGGTCGTGTAACCAGCTAAGGATGATTTCAGAGAACACAACAAAAAGGAGATTTGCTGCTGAAGGCCTATTTTCCACTTGGAACCCAAGAGAATATTGACAGTAGTAGTAAGATCTATGGAATTATAGTTCAATAGCAAGTTTAAGTGATAATATACACAAGAAATTTAATACCAAATTGAATATAGGATAAAATTAGGACGAAAATCAATGAAACTATTAAAGATAGTTGAATCAATAATAACTTGAAAACCCTAGGATGAAGGGAAAATCATCAGACTTCTACAATCAATTAATGACGACCAAAGTAAGGAAGACGTGAAAATACACGTCTTCGGAACGCATGATTTAGTCTTCACTGCAGCCATTTGAACAACTACAGCTTTACATGGAAGACGCACTCATAAGATAAAAATTAAGATTGTTCAAAATATAGTAAATAACTTGGTGGAAGCCTTGTTAAAATGGACTTTATCTTCAGTATCTATAAGATAAATTAAAGCAGCAAGCTACGAATAGACCCTGTTTGTCTCGTTCTCTTAACCACTATTCCGGATGTAATTCAGAAGTTCACTCATGATAAACACACCTAATCTTATGCTCAACATCACTAACTGGCTCGACAGGGGCAGTTAAACTGATAGATACACCTTGATGAGAAGGCAAAATAAGGTAGTTTGTCCTTAATTCCCGAACGTAAAACTGGAGCGGTTAGGAAGGGACAGTGTGCCTCTGCTGTGAACTCTGTCCTTATTATATTCTTAAAGCGCTACTTTATTATTTCAGTGATATTATCACCTAGAAGCTCTACTTGTAAGAACAAGAGTTTCTCTGAAGTTGTTGGCACGTTAACTTCCATTAGCTTTAAATTCAGATTCTTGTCACTAAACTTTTCAAGCTATCTGTTTTAATTATAATAAAGGTTTTATGCATTTCCCAATGAATGAAAAACAAAACGATATTGTTGTTTTTACTGACGTTTCGCTATTTACTAATAGCTTATCAAAGTATTATTAAACCGGAATTTACAAAATCTCAAAATATAAAAATCACAAAGAGTTAAGAGGTGAGAAAATTAGAGTTTTCTTCAAAACATCAGACACACATCGAAACAACCTTGTCCATATAAAAGACCAAATCCCTAAAGATTCTCTTTCTAATTGTGTCTATAAAATAAAATGTTTCGAATGTGATGCGATTTACATCGGAGAAACATCTCGAGAAATCAAAATCAGAAGAAATGAACACCGTAGATTGAGTGTCTGTTCGACCAACAAGAAATCCGGTTGAACTAGAAAAACTTGAAAAATCATCAGCCATAGTTACACGCTACGCTATAGAATCAGGCCACAAAATTGATTTTGACAATATTGAAATAATCCAGAAAAAGCATTTCAGAAATCACAAAGAACGTCTAATATCAGAAGCACTTCATATCAAATGGAATCCAAATTGTCTGAATAGGAATGATCGACTAAAACAGAATTTGACCTGGTTACAACACCTCCCTCCCCCATGAAGTGACAAAATCAACACGAATGTGATAAGCAATATCATTAAGTAAACACACACTGCCTTTATAATTTTATAACACTGATCAAATCCAACAATCTACACTTGATGATTTTGTTATCTTTACCAACTGACCAACTTGACAACGAAAAATGACTACATACTGACGAACGATGATCAAGTTAGTAAACTTTGTTTTGATATCATAACAGATGTTATTTGGTTAAGTGATCTTCATTGTTATTTTGACTTTCAGTATGTCCTTTTAACTTGACCTAAGTCTATTTTCTCACCTCTTAACTCTTTGTTATATATATGCTGAGATTTTGTAAATTCCAGTTTTATAATACTTTGATAAAGCTATTAGCATTAAATAGCGAAACGTCAGTAAAAGCAACAATATCGTTTTGTTTTTCATTCATTGGGAAATACAAAAACCTTTATTATAATGAATATCATATACCCAATGCCCAAATTTTTTCAAACTGTTAAAAGTGAACTTGGTTCGGACATGTATAACTATCTGTTTTAACTCAGTAATTCACCAATAATCTTGAGTTCTTCATTGTGGCAGTCATTAGAAAAGATTAATCGAGCTCCCTGAACCAAAAACTCTCATTGTTTTAACTATTTTTAACTGTTGCATACACTTTTTTCCTAATTCTATCTGATTTCCAATTTTGTATGACATTTTTATGCATATAATCGTACTTAGACATACTTTTAAAATGTAATTTCATTGATCTGAACGGCTCGATATTATTTAGTCAAGAAAACCGAATAGTCAATATCAAGTAGTTATCGAAATCCCCTGTGCGTCGGTGGCACAGCGGTTAGAACGCTTGCCGACCATGGACATAGTCCGGGGTTCGATCCCCTGCCGACGCACACCAGATATTAATGATCTGCCTGCCAAATCACATGCTGAAAATTCGATACTTGTTCCAAGAATACGGTGTGGAATGAAGCTGTAATAAAAAATGTGTATATTCTTTGTCTAATCTTCTCTTCTGTTTTCTAAATGTTTTGATAAACTATTGGAGAAATCTATGAAACAAAATAATCGAGCAAAGAATATTCTTTTCGATAAATTCCTCTTCCGGCTCTACAATTATATATGTTTATAGACGCAGAATATTCTAGATTAGTAGTTAATAACAATATTAGTGTTTTTTAAGTAATATCGATTTGTAAAGTATGATCAATGGAATTACAGTTCATTAAAGATGCTTAAATCATCATAATAATAAAGATATAATAGCGAATAGAATATCAACTAAAATTAGGGAAATTCTACAAAAATTTCGGATTATTCAAACCTGGATGGCCAAGGTAATGATAATGTCGGAACTAACTTCTTTTGGATGCATAAATTAGGCTTGTTAATATGGATCCTAACAGCCTCAGCAATATTTAGTAGTCGAACTCTTAAGGCAAAATTGAGATTTGTAGGTGTGCGGGAAATGACCCTGAAAGCATGATTAACGTCAATCTTGTGTTCTGTCTCCACAAGATGAGACAGAATAGCGCTGCAAATAGATTTTGTTTGTCCTTTGCTTAACCAGGCAGGGTGATGTTCGGAAATTCGACGAGGAACACGCCTGATTGTACGGCCTATGTAACTGGCTTCACAGGAACAGTTAAATTGGTAGATACACATGGAAGAGGCGAAATTAGGCAGTTTGTCTTTTATTCTCGAACGCAGAAGAGGAGTGGTTTTAAAGATACAGCGTAATTCAGCAGCAGGGAATGCTCTTTTTACAGCATTTCTAAGGCGCTGTGTTAGTATCTCACTGGTGTTGTCTCCTAGGAACTGCATCTGTAAGAATAAGGCCTTTTTTGGAACGGCTAGTAACTTGGGCTGCTTTGGTTTCAGATTCAGATTCTTATCAATAAACTTTTCAGGATAACCATTCTCACTTAACAACCGTTTAATATTGTTAAGTTCCTCGTCAAGACATTGATCCGAGCAAATCTCTCTCGCTCTGTGGAACAAGCACTTTATTAGATTGCGTTTGTATGTCAAGGGGAGAAATGTAACATCACTTATTGTTAATATTGTCACCATTATTATTATTACTATTATTATTATCCATAGAATAGATTAAAATACTCAGTGTACACAGTCTGATATTACCTTGTAGGTGCTGACTTTTTCGCCAACTTCACTAATAATTCCAGTACATTCAGATCCCATAATGAATGGTGGTTTAACAGTCTGTTCAATCAATCCTTGTCTTGTCATTATATCAAGGAAATTGATTCCACTAAAAGGCAAAAAAACCAGAGAAGTCATTGACATAATGTAATATGAACAGTAATCACATAAAACTTGACGCATATATATTGTCAATAAATAAAGCAGTTTCACATCTAAATTAAGGAACTTTGATAAATGTCCAGATCTCTTATCGATCAGTCATGATGACTCGTTGCAGATAAATGATAAGTTTTTCCTACAATCGGTTTCCTTCATTAGTTTGAATAAAGAACGCGTGAAGATATTTGCTGGATGATACTAGCTCATTTTGTTTCGTGGATTCTCTTCAACTGAGTACATCCTAAAGTAAATCAATCATAATTTACACAGGGACTCCACGAATTATTCAGTGCGCTGCTGAAGTCCTCAGTTCCATTTAGAAAGCAACAAAACAATGATACGATCACACTTTCTTAGACTGAACTAGTTTTAGATACTGCTGGTGTATATGCATAGAACCTGAAACCTAGGTCTACCTCATCGTCTACATTTACTTGGAATACACTTGTTGATGGAAACGTGAGTGAACTATGTATAACCTACTTATCGTTTGAGGCTAAATGACATTTAAAAATTCGGCTATTCAAAATTTCCAGCTAGTATACTAGAGTTATTTTAATTCTAGAGTTCTACGCAAGTATGAAGACTGCAGTTGAAGTAGCTGACTGAACTCAATGAAATAGATTCAGAATATCCAGACTTCTCCATGTTCGTAAGGCTAAAGGATAATGGCTGACTCTCTGAAAACATAAAGCTTGAGGACAAATGCCACGGAGTCACTAAATAAAATGCAGATATATTCAGATAGCAATATACGATAATATAAAACGCCAGCTTTTAAATTCAGTACTTAGAGAAGAAGAAGTAATTAGCATGAAGAGGATACGCATACAGCTCATTTGACAAAAGCAAACTGATCGATGAAATATGATGAACTGCATACGAAACTGCAAGAGTCAGAAGTTAAATACACGTGAATCTCACTAGAATACCAATGAAGGAGGTTTCAACTCAAAAGTTTACCCCGAAGTTATAAATACAAGTTAGCGTCGACATCTGGATAGAATATTGGCGGACAAGTCTATTAGAAAAAAAGTTTTTCAAATTATACTTCATAGGGATCTAATTTATTCCAGTTGCGATCCTGTCATGAAACAAAGTCCGTGATAGGAAGAGAGAGTGATAAACGCCCGTTTCTTCCAAATTCCCAATCCTTCAACAATAAGCATCCGTGAGTTCAGCAGCTATATGAATGCAGGACCTTCAAGTCATGCTACGAGCGAATTACAACACACCCACTAATTTGTAATCAAATAGCTGTATAGTGACACACTCATCACATGATTCGTAGGTCTTTGGCTCTAATATCGACATGATTATGTGTAGACGAGGTTCCAAAGTGACAAAAATATGATGAGAAAGCTGTCCAGTAAACTCTAATTTCCGGTAACCGTTTAACTGATGGCGGTCTGCGATGAAATGTAAGTGACTGCTGTCAACAAAAGGTTTGTGAAGGAGAATACGTGCATGTAGTTCATAAATGTCGACTACCAGTCAGAATTAAAGATTAATAACAATTATTACACATATAGCCTACCATTTAGATGTTCCCGCAGAATTTAGGGAAGGTGAATTCTGCGTCTAGAATAGATTATTCACAGTTTAACCCTCCTTTAGTTGAATTTAAATGTATTCATGAGATCTACAGTGTCTACAATGTATGAGTCATGCGCTTGAGAATGAACTGTATTTATGTTTTGGAGGCTGCCAGTGCTTTCTGAAAGTAGGCTAGGAGATCTACGCCACATAATGCATCTAGTAACTCATCCAACTAACTATGGCTCTAGTTTTGATGCAAGAGTTTCAGTCAACTGGTAGAGAGGCGAGTAGTGACTGCTTTGAGCTCTCTTAAAACACTGATTTACTCGCCATTGTTTCAATTTGTGTGATATTACAGAGTGTCGTTTTAAAAGGCCATGATGATTACATAAACCTATAACAATATAATTATTATTTTTGTTACAAATGCACACTTAAAATTGACTTCTGAGGCATAGAGTATGAAAGGAATTTCCAGACTCTAAGCATTCTGTATGGTTATCCCAAAATGTAAAGTTGTATTTCTTTAACGGATTTTTAAGTTTACTGCTACAGAACTGGAGAGATTGAAAATGCGATAGCCTACTTCGTTTTTAGTCACATCCTGCTTATTTGCTTTTGAACAGATATTTGGGCATAAAACATTCTAGAGTGGATCTGTAAACACTTTATTTCATGTTCTATACCGACAGTGATTTCATATATGTGTCTATTAAGTACATTGCACAGTGAAATAGTACTATTTACTGGATGATGTTTCGAAAACTATTATTGCTCATAATCATATCATCAATTATAACTACACAACTTTGAAACTTTCATTTTACAGTTTTCTTTATTCTTTCCTATTTGTCGTCATACGGGTAGTAGAATTTTTTAGTTGCCTGGCTTGATAGGTGTTGAATCATTCCTATTACACGTATTTGCAGTCCACTCGATAAGCAAAGCTTGCATTATTAATCTCTCCCTCCACCCTGTCACATTAGCTTTTAGAACTGTTATCTTATCGCACACTATTGTGTGGATTAATATTACATTCTTATTATCCAAGAAGCATTATTTCAACTACAGACAGAACGGATGAAGATGTCAAATCCGGAATTAGAAATGCAGTCGGAAATCTGCACTTAGCCAGCATAAAGAATATGATTCGGATTCTGTTCAACACAAATGTGAAGTCAGTTCTCCTGTATGGTTGAGAAACTTTGCTAGCGTGTCACGAAAGGCATTTCCAACAGGTCACTGAAGACTTTAATCAACAGCTGCCCCCTTCGCTGACTGGCTTCATACTGAAGATCAAATGGCCGGCCAGCCGGTGAGAAAGAATTAGCAACAAACCAGGAGGCAAGAGCTGATTGCTCAACAGATATTTAGGAGAAAAAGAAGATGGACTGAGCGGACGTTGAGCAGGTTATCGAATGACATAGCGCGCAATGCGGGCCATCTCAGTGGGAAGCGACGAGTGGGTCATCGGTGCGAGGATGACATGGAGGAGATGAGAAACTATAGTCGATAATTGACCTAGCTGAAGGGGACAAGAGAAAATTGAACAAAGTGGAGATGTGTTGTTGAAACCCTGTGATCCATTAGGAACCAAATGGTATAATAATATAAATCTAGGTCTTGCTAGTTTCTCCTACCCCTACGACTAATAGGAAATAAGAATAAAAACTATGAAAGAAAAAGTTTCACTGTTGTGTAGCTATAACTGATATCATCATGAACAATAATAAGTAGTGTTTGAAACTTAGTCATCCAGTAGACAATGCTGTTTCACTGTGTGATATATCTAATAAACAAATTAATGTGAAATTGCCGACAGTGACTGCTTAACTTTGATTTCAAGCCATATTCTTGTCAAAGACTTTCAGAATTAAAGCATTAGATTTGAACAAATTTTCTTCAGTCCTTGTGTAAATTATTGATATAAGAATAAAACTTGTGCACTGTTGTAGAGTGTAATTCCATTATGGGTGAATTTTGTTTTAATAAAGTCTCACAGTGTTATACAGTAATGTTTACTGATGACCACGTTTCGAGCACAATTTTTGGCTCATAATCATATCAAGGTAATCACACGACTTCCTAAATTCATTTATATAGTTCCGTTGTTTTTCACTTGATTTTCTCTTGATTTCATTGGTAGTATTATTTTCCATATTTCGGGTATGAGTGATGAATCATTCCTATTGCATGTGTTGGGTGTCATCTACAGTTATACCATGTAAAGAGGGGACATCTGAGACCCTACGTGGGATTCTAAATAAAGCAGGAATTAGGGTGGCATTTAAACCTACAAACTCGCTCAAGGACAAGCTCTGTAGGCTAATCTAAGTAAGTTATCTAAGTAGGTGGAGAGAGAGGTTGATTACTGAATCCTTGTTCATCGAATCTACACCCAACACATGCAATAGGAATGATTCATCACTCATACCCGAAATATGGAAAATAATACTACCAATGAAATCAAGTGAAAATCAAGTGAAAAACAACGGAACTATATAAATGAATTTAGGAAGTCGTGTGATTACCTTGATATGATTATGAGCCAAAAATTGTGCTCGAAACGTGGTCATCAGTAAACATTACTGTATAACACTGTGAGACTTTATCAAAACAAAACTTGTGTAAATTAATCTTTTATTTTACTGCTCTTTCCAGATGTTTACGCATATCTGCAAACTTCGTTTATATAACTCCATTATGTGGTCTTGATAGAATTATGAGCAAAAAGTGGTGCTCAAAATTTCATCAATCAACAATACTTATAAGAAATAAAATCATTATAAGACAGAATCAAGGTCCATCACAGGGCCCAAATTTCATTGATATAACTTTCTGTCTATGACGTCTGCGATGAAGAAATTGAAATGTTGATTATTTTCCATCTGGAACATTTCAGGAGCTTCAAACGTTCACTAGATGCAATAAAGTTTTAGAAATATTCTACTTCTAATGTCCTGGCAACTCCATATCGCAGTATTTTCTTCCCTGTAAGCTAATTAGATGCATTCAATTAGCATGGTAGCTTGCATTACAGATGTCAAACCATCATTCACCCGTTGGCGTTATGACCATGTCTAAATGTCATTCATATGGTGAAAACAAGCCATGGACAAATAATAAATTGTGCCAAAACATCTTCATTTTACAACGCCGAGGTATAGAAAATCCCGTGCACATCAAAAAGAATGAGATTATATCAGAGAAAGGCACTCAAAAACATTCAATAATTAGCTATAATCGAAATCGACGGGCATCTATGGTTCACTTGTAAAATGCACATTAACCACACGACGGAAACTCCTGGTTTGATTCTGCCCAATGAATTTCTAAAGCCATACTAGTTTGACAGTAGGGTAATACGCCAGAAAAAGACGGAATGTCAGGTGCGAAGCTAGCAACCCCTCACCTGGTGAAAGAAACAATACCACTACGACTAAAACTTTAAAGTCTGAAGCCTAATATTCTTTTCGGAACAAAACTAAATGAAAAAGCACCAAAAAAGCAACATAATGACTTACCATGCTTGTACTTCAATAGCTACTTCATTTTTCCCCACAGGTTTCACTTCATTCGTATCGATTCGCACATGCTTGGAACCGCCAAACGCTGTAAGATTCACGCATTTATACGTTTTAACTTCTTCTGCTTCTTGTTCAGCAGCAGCAGCAGTTCCACTTGTTGTATTCGACGCAGTCACCTTTGTCTCCGTTGTTTCACCAGGTTTTATATTCTCCGCCTTCTCAGTTGAACCAGCAGTTTTATCTTCTTCTGGCATTTTCAATTCTTCTTAGTCCTTACTACTACTACTACTAATATTTCTACTAGTGTGTTTGTTGTACAGCGGATGAAATAAAACTCCGAAAAAAGAGGGAAAAATTATTTTCTTCAATGTATAAGATAAACTTTTTATCCCAATAACAGATGGTCTATAATTTACTCAAGAATTTTTTTAGGCTTCACTATCGATTGGTGAAGCAGATGGATGACCCGATCAAAAGAGAATTGTAAAACAAGGTAGGGAATACGGCTTTAACACACAAACACACAGGCAAACACGCACAATAACTAGCTAGTTAGCAAACAAACAAACTAACTAACTAACCAACTGACTAACTCACTAACAAGGAGGAGAAAAAAGTAGAAAATTTGGAATGGAAGATTTTAAAGCAGCGACTAACGAAGAAGAAGAGAAACAAGCAGAGAAATATGTATTTCTCCAACTTAATTTATCCCAACCCATTGAATTCCACGTCAACTAATCTTGCTGCCTTTCATTCCCACATATAACAGACTGATCAGCATCGATCGATCCGCTAATTTTGCTCTCTTCAATAGCTAATAAAAAAATTTTTACATATTTTCTGTTTGTCTATAGAGATAGAGGGAGAGGGGGAGAGTAGACCAAACTGGTCTATAAGGATAAACCAATACGATACTCCTTGGAGTTTAAACCAATGAAATTGTGTCATTAGCAAGCATACATGTGATTGTAAATAGATAGATGTAAGGTATGTCAATGAATGAAAAAACTGTTTTACGTGAAAATCAGGCAGTAATTAGGGACTTCCTCTTGTTTCGAATTCAAAAACACATGTATGTACAATGAGATGACCAAACATCCGTTTATGCATCGGTATGTTTTTGTCGGTATGATTGCCTGCCTTTGAGTTTGACAGACATAAGGCGGCTCACTGGTTGGTTATCGTTGGAAGTTTGGGTCGCTGAGCTTTTATAGGCTTCAAACTAGCTGTAGGATGGGGAATCTCAGGTCTTTTGTAGTTATTTGTCTTCATAAATAATAAATAATCTGAAATCCCTAGAATTTATCACATAAAAGAAACAAACGTCTTAGCAGGTCGCACTCTAATTTTTTTGCATTCTTTTGAGTTCTCAGTGGAGCATAGGGATTTCAGCTTGAGTTCTGAAGTTTCAGGAGTAATCCACGCACACACACATACAGCCTGAGTCCAAATATCTCAACATATCTGAGATTTTGTCTTCTATCTACAATCATCGTTAAAAGGAATCTTAATCCAACAGTATATGACACAACATATTAAGCCTGTAACGGTAGAAAACGAAACATTTGGCAAAATAATATTTGATTGGTTGGAGGATTTCATCATGAGCTGACATGAGTTAGAGAACCGTTGGAAAACCACCTCTGCAGTACTGGACAGCGGTTTCGTCCTAGTTTGGGACTCTTAAGCAGTACTCACTAACGACCTTCTGGTTATAGGGCGAGCTCGTAGGCCACTGGGACCCGATCTAATGGCCCATGAGTTCTAACTTCTGCCAATTCATGACCTTGTAACCAGGAGGCCTTGGGTTTGAACCCCTATGTTGGCTGCGTACTGTGAAGTGTCCCAATCTAGGCTGACCAAACAGTTGTCGAGTACTCCAGTGATGCTTTTGCAATGGTTCTCTAACTGATGTCAGTTCATGATGAAATGCCCCAACTATAAAACCACTATTTGCAAATTTGGAATTTGGTATCTCTATATTGCAAAATTATGTACACCTTATCTTTAACGCACCATTTGTACAGATCTTCCGTGTTGTGCCTGCTACTTCTGCTCCTACCCTTCATACTGTGTTTCTTTGTGTTCCTTTCACGTCTCCCATGTATCTCCACAACGCTTTAATATTTGCTTTCTCTGAGATTAAATCTATCTCCCTCCTATTTGATGTCTTTATGCCAATGAACGTCTCTTTATATGTATATACTACTGATAAATCTTATCAGTAGCACACGTCTGACTATCACATTATCTGTTCACTGTATTTTTAGCAGGAATCAAGTTATATCAGTGAATAGAGTATACGAAAGCAAGATACATTTTATTTTTTGATTTACATCGCTATATCAGCGAAAACATATTCACAATCTGTAGTAAGGTAAAATAAATGGCTAACTTAGCATCGTTTTAAATTGTTGTCAGACTATAATTGATGAACATTTTGTGTTATGATTAGAACAACTCACTTATTTGATGCAATTTATGTTACCTAATAAGTTATGGAATAATTTCTTATATGTGATGGTTTAGCCTACTATCTAGATGCTTTGGTAGAAGTGATAGAAGGTATCGGTCGGTCGGTCGGTTTTCAACATAGAACTTTGCACATATGTGCGGCAGTTCAAGTCGCCATACTCCAAGTAGCACACAAAAGAACAGAAGAAAGTAGGAGAAATGCATAATATAGACAGTAAACAAGTGTTAGACAAAGGTATAATTCCACGCCTAGAACAGACTGGTCGAATATTCAATTCCTTTATTTGTGAGAGTTGAGCATATTTAATGGATCAACTTACGATGTCAAGAATATATGAGTAACTGTGTATATAGTTAGGCATGTGAAAATCAGTTACACGTATGGCTGCTATTCTATGTTGCTGGTGTCATCTGGAAGCTACTCTACGTTGCATTACAGCACTGACAAGAATGAAATATTCCCATATTGAATCATAAGAAAAAGACGTAAACAAGAGAAGAAAATTTTCTTTTTGATGACTCATTTTCATAAGCTCTACAATTGCAATTGTGTGTTTTATTATTATTATATCTAATCGCTATTTGACGATAGTTATTTTTAAAACAATTCGTGCCCTTTTATAAATTTGGATAGTGTTAATAGAAGATGAAGATTATCTGAAAAGCAATGTGGGATGTATTTGCGCTATACATTTCGAACAATCTGATCCCGCACACATTTATTTGTCAAGTCGGTATATATAGAAAACATTAAGGGCAATTAGATTAAACAAAGTGACAAAAAAGAGTTAAGGGTGATTAACACAACGCCAAATTACCATACAATGAGGAAATAAGTAGATTTGAGAAGTAATTCGGTCATCCGTAGAACCTATTATGCACCCCGGCTAGTAATCATCGGAAAAGTAAAAAATGTGCTCCACTGCAAACCTCAAAAGTGCACAAGTAATTATGTCACATCCACACTATTTGCCAATTTTCGTGTGTGTGTGATCACACATACACAGTGAGAAGTAATTGTGCTTTGCATATAAGGGGGGGGGGAGCATATCCCGAAATGGTTAGAAAAAACAAGTGAATTGTGGAAAACCAAAATACGCAGGTGTCAGGCTACCAACTTCGTCAATTGCTAAACATCTAATCGAGATGAACTATAAGATAGATGTTAACTCAGCCTTTAAGGTCATCTATAAAAGTGGTTAAGGACGCTTATTAAAATACGCTGAGTCGATAGTTATTCATAAAATTAAGTCCCCCCCTTGTGTATTCAAAAACAGTTTATTATTACTATTAACCTACCTTGGTAATCCTTATTTGATTGGTTTGCCAAACGTTGTGTTAGTCATTCTTAAATCCTTTTTTTTGCACTTTGTTTTTAATTTAATTGCCCTTAATTTTTTCACGTATATATCGACGTGACAAGTAAATGTGTTAGTGATCAGACTGTTCGAAATGCATAGCCCGAATAAATCACGTTTTTCAGATTATCTCCGTCTCCTAAAAACACTATCCAAATAGTTATTTTCCCGGGCTGAAGCCAAAAATTACGTAATCACATGAAAGACGGAATAAAGATATCCAGTTACCAGAATGGCAAAGAAAGGATGATAACTGCTCCTTTCCGAACACATAAATCTGGTTTCGGGCGTTTGATAGAGATTGCTTCGGCAAACTTGAGGAGAATTGACCTTTATGTCCATTGATAATTCTAAAGGATTTTGTTGTTTCCACCATATTACCCGTGTCAATGAGATGCCTAGTAATGACACTATTATAATCATTTGCTCCCTTGAGACGCAGGCCTTACTGTACGTGTTCAGAAAATCGGAGGTGTGCTCTTTTTTCTGTTTTCCCACTGTAACTGTAGGATTAAATCTATAAGGAGCTATATTTCCCTAGCTGTCCATAAACATATTTGCTACAGTTGCGGATACTGGTGATCCCATCGCTTCACTTTCTGTTTGTCCACATACTTTTCCCCGGAATTTAAAAAAAGTAGACGTGAGACATAATTGAATTCCTAAAATAATTTCCTCAAAGGGTAGCTTTATCCTATGAGTAAGTTCAGAATCAGTAGTTAATTCTCTTCTAACTGCTTCTAAGGCAATATCGATTGGAATATTAGTATAAAGACAGACTAGTTATATCAAAACTAACCATTTTTTCAATGTCCTCTAATTGAATGTCATTTATTTCCTTTTTGTCATTTCATATGAATTAGTTAGCCTAGAATTAATGTCGATAAAAAGTTTGAGCATTGTGAAATAGATCAAATAAATTATAATTATATTTCAATATTTGTTACATAATTATAAGTTTTTGTCTTTGGTAATATTTCGTGCATATTATGGGCAGTAAATCTGCAGTAATTTCTAATAGGACATAATATTAGATTAAAAAACTCAGTACTTTCACTGCATGCATTAATACACAACCGTACTTAGGGTAGGAGAGGCTTAAAATTCTAAAAATGAATATAGGCAGGTGGAGAGAGAGGGGTTGATCATTGAATCCTTGTTCATCAAATCAACACCAGACACATGCAATAGAAGTGACTCCTCACCAACACCAGAGATATGCAAGAGATAACTACCGTTCAAATCAAGAGATGAGAAATTTTGGAATCATAGAAACAAAGTTGGAAAGTTGTATGAGTAGTGCCTTGATATGATGACTATGAGCAGTAGTAAATTGTGCTCGAGACGTCGTCATCAGTAAATATTACTGTATAACACTGTGTGACTTTATCAGAATGAAATTAGTAATGAAATTAGCAATTTAACAATGAAGATGTTCACTTCACGACTAGAAATCTTCTGGAACTGAATGATGACGGCAAGTGATTCACCAGACCACAAAATACTTTATGTGTCTTGTTCTGCTACTTGACTCTCAACATGAAAACAGTAAAGAGTTTTGACAATCAGTACAACAGTCAGCAAACAGTCTCACTAGATACAAGACACGATCATATTCTCCTGAAATGTTTGGTCGAATGCTCTTTAAATGTCTTAACTTCATGATATCGAATAGGTTACAGTTTGATTGGACTTTAGTAACTAGTGTGATGTGTCTAGTCCTTTGTTTAGTGCAGACTGAATTCTATCAGTCAGGTTTGCAATGTGGCCACCATGCCACTAGGTGACTCACCATCACGTGCACATTGATTTGATGATATAAGATGGTTGGAGGCAGTCGGCAGGAAGCTTTACCTGACCTAGGTTTCGTGGTAGTTGACACTCATCAGCAGCACTGGCTGACGCAGGCTCGATTCTGAGAAGAAACGTGATTTCCTTCAAAGTTGCAGATACGCCTGGCTGACTGGT